TACTGTAGAACGCACTAGTCTACCTACTGTAGAACGCACTAGTCTACCTACTGTAGAACGCACTAGTCTAACTGGTTGCTTTTGCCCAGTTTATTTCAAAGGATGTCCTCGATTTACACTGCAAGTTTGAAATGCTGATGGATCCTAAGGTTAGTCCACCCTTTTTGTCTGTACGCATTTGTTGAACAAAGGAATTTTGTTCAAAGCCGGCTATATCTGACTGGTTTTGTTTGATAGGACAACTATAAGAGATACAGGACAACACTGAAGTCTTCGCCCACTCCCGCTGTACCTTATTTTGGTATGCATGATTGATTATTTGACTGACTATTGGATTGATTTATTTATTGATTACGATAATTGAAGTTAATTGGTAGAAATATTGATTGATGGATTGGTTTAATGATTGATTGATTGTCTGATTGATTGATTGATTATAATCAGCGTGTTCTATAATTCTACGTTATTTCTGATCATGTCTCTGTTTTGTTTGTAAACCAAGGTGTTTATATGAAGGATCTCACGTTTATTGCCGAGGGAAATCCAGACTTACTAAAAGGAGGACTAGTTAATTTGAGCAAAAGACGTCAGGTAGTGCCTATTAATGTGTTAGCTTCATTTCGTATCGCATTATTTCGCATGGTTGATCCGTTTTTAAATCGCATGGCATTGTAAWCCATCGCATCGAGTCGCATTTTAGATCGTATCAAATCACATGATATCGTAACGAATCTCACGACATAGCAACATGTATTCATGGTATCGCATGGTAACTTGTGTTGGTGTATCTTGGCACATCTTATATCGTACCATTTTCTGATCGTATCATGTCATGTAAACTTGCTACAAGTCGGACTATATTGTAGTTGATATCGTATTACTATTGTTGTTTTTTTTTTTCAGATCTATTTAGTTATCAATGAAATAAGAAAGTTCCAAAAAAATTCCTACAACTTCCAGGAGGTAAGAAATCTAACAAATACTAGTGGCATAGTGGGACTCATAGGCTCAGTCTCCAGCCGTCGGGATTTCGTGCGCCCGCGATACTCTCTCCCCTGACGGCTGGGCGCATGGGGTTCGAAACGTGTCGCGCATGTCCGTGACGTTTTTGTGTAATTAGCATATTATGACGTAACGGAAGTGAATTTTTCAGTGAACGGAAGTGAAATATCTGACAACAGCCGTAAAGGTTTTGCTACAAGGCGGGAAATTATGTGAAATGAAAACTTCGCGAATTAGCGATATAATGTAATAGTTAGCGCTTTAAAAAAGAGAAAGGAATGGAAATTACCCCAAGTAAAACATGTGYAGGGTTTAATAATCCAAATGGATGTATTATCTGCCAGAAAAACGAGCAAAATACACTAGTGGCGCTGTTTGAAAAATAAGAGATTTGCCCGAGCCAGTATAGGAAGAATAACAAGGACATCTTTTCCAAGAACAATCTCTTTAAGAGCCTTTTGCTGTATTTCTCTAAATTCGTCCAAGCTAAACGACTTCAGAGCCTTCAAACAAGCACTTTCAAAGAGAATCTCAAACGACGATATGTACGCCATTTTGTTACACTGCTGCCTGCTAATTTATTAATGATATGCCCCTCAAAATATCGGGGGCCACTCGCTGATTGGTCAAGATTGACAATAGCGAACCTCATGCGCCCAGCCGTCAGGGGAGAGAGTATCGCGGGSGCACGAAATCCCGACGGCTGGAGACTGAGCCTATGGGACTCATCGAATACTCCAATTTTTTTCTAATTTTCACAAAATTGTGAAAAAAAATGAAATTGTGAATTTTCAAACTTCGTTGAAACAACACATTATTTAAGGGTTACACAATTAATAATTAAGAATTTCCTCGCTTTTTGAGTGGCCTGAATTAACTATACAAACAAAGAAACAAGGATAGGATAAGAAAAAAGGCAAAAACTCACCTTGATCACGTGTCATCTAATCGACCAAAATTGACCAATAGAAAATTTGATATCTGTTAGAGGTGATTTGATTGGCTAATCGCTGTACATATTGTTATTAGGTGTGTGAGATACGAGAGCATTTATTTAGTCAAGAGTTATTGACCGAGGAAGAACTTCACCAAATATCAAGACAACTCGAACCATCACAGCGAAGATACTCTGAACCCGACAAAGAGAGCCGTTCGTTCTCAATCCCCTCAATAACGCGGTCAAACACTGCTGGTCATTCAAGCGGCAAGAAGTTGGTCAAAAGTCTTTCGATTGGTGGAGAGTCCGTTTGTTAACGATAAAACCGAACACTGAAGGACAGCTTACTTTTATATTGGAGGAGAACCAAAAGCCCCCAAAATTAGAGGAGAATCTAACACTATTCATATCATTGGTGGAGAACCAATTTCACACAGTTAGTGGAGATTCGCATCCTTCCTCGATAAATGGAGAACCTTACTTTCATATCAATGAAATGAGAATCTCCAAAATGAATTTATTGATTAGCATCTAATCGAAGCCAATAATATAGATTTCAGATAAAGAAACATTTGCACAAAGATTATATTTATTTCTGGTTTCCAAGTTCCTGAGTGACAAGTGTTGTGCGTGGACGTTTCAGAATGTTATAGTTTTAGGATGCTTGTTGGACGTTTGTGTTGGCGTAAGAAATCCCAGAGAATTTTAATTTCTTGTCTTCTATCCTTCCAGTTCCTTTTTCCCGTAAAGAAGCAATTGCTACCGGGGCTGTTGATGTCTGTTGATGTCTTGCATACAGGCAAATTAAGGAAACGATTATACTTGATCTATGAACCACACAAAAAGATTACAATGATGGCATCCACTGTCATGAAAACTGTGAGGCCAAAAAATAAAGTAGCATACAGCTATTTCAAAAAAGGTTGTCCGGGAGAGCGACGAACGGCTATTGTCGAAAGGAGATTGCACGGTCGAAAAGGACTGGTTACGCTGTTTTCACTGGTTTGATTCACCTTGCATAGAAATTGAAACTAAATGGAGCCAATGTTCCTCACAGACTATCTTGCTGGCCAATGTTCCTCACAGACTATTATTGCTGGCCAATGTTCCTTACAGACTATCTTGCTGGCCAATGTTCCTTACAGACTATCTTGCTGGCCAATGTTCCTTACAGACTATCTTGCTGGCCAATGTTCCTTACAGACTATCTTGCTGGCCAATGTTCCTTACAGACTATCTTGCTGGCCAATGTTCCT